GGGGATACAAGTGTATTTGTTCTAAGCATATTTTGCAATGCTTAAGTCAGAGCTTGTGGTGCGCCATGACCATAGGGTCCACTGAACCTAACAGGTAAGTTTTTATCCCACACCCGCCCTCCTGCACTCTCCCCTTCTTCATTTCTCACCTCCTTTATATCGCTTTGTGCCTGCGTGTACCATCTGTTCGCTCCCACTTCTTAGTGAGAACACACAGTGTTTGATTTCCCATTTCTGAGATTCTTCACCGAGCATAATGCTCTCCAGTTCCCTCCACGCTGCTGCAAATGATGTTTTTTTCATTCCTTTTTATGGCTGAATAGTACTCCATATATATGTCACATTTTCTTTTACTTATTCATTTATTTATTTTTTAGAGACAGAGTCTTACTTTATTGCCCTTGGTAGAGTGCTATGGCATCACAGCTTACGGCAACTTCCTGCTCCTGGGCTTAGGCAATTCTCTTGCCTCAGTCTCCCTAGTAGCTGGGACTATAGGCACCTGCCACAACCCTCGGCTACTTTTTTGTTGCAGTTTGGCCAGGGCTGGGTTTGAACCCACCACCTTTAATATATGGGGCCAGCACCCTACTCACTGAGCCACAGGTGCCGCCCTATCTCGCATTTTCTTTATCCATGCAGAAAGAAAGGAATACTTATACGCTGTTGGTGGGACTGTCCATTTTTAATATAAGGAAACAGGTTAAAAGTTAAAAGATGGTCTGCAGAAGCATGTAGACTCAAAAAAAAAACCCCAGTAGTTAAAGGATAGAGTCATGGTACACATTTCTATAGTGCTTATTATGTATCAACAGCTGTTCTAAGTATTTTACATGTATCAACACATTTATTCTCACAACTATTCTATGAAGAAAATACTGTTACTATCTCTGATTTACAGTGTCATGTAACATGTCCCAGGTTGTACATTAGTCATACAAACTTTGTATTTTGATATTTTATAGACCATGAAGTTGCAAGGGAGTTAGTGTACACAACATTGCAATAAAACAAAAAAAATACATTTTTTGCCTATGTGTGCAAATTTTGTATATATATTTCCATACCACGCCATATACCTAACCTTCAAAATACATCAAAATCAAGTTTTTATGCCACTAAA